CAGATCATTGAGTTCCTTTGATAATGCTTCTTTTCGATACTGAAAACTAATAAGTAAACCATAGAGCAGAGCACAGCTGAAACACAGGTAAAATATTCATCTCTTTTGTAAGTTGTTTACTAGTTCATTTGACACTTTTGGTTTTGTTTTATCTATACACAGTTTGATTAGAGTTTTTTTGAACTTCCATTTGTGATGTTGTATAACATTCACGATGTACTCCACAGGTCCTCTCACTTCCAAAGTTCTAATGAAGATTCAAGTTTACTTTGTGCCAAATTTAGCGGCTTGCTTTGGACTTGTATAAATTTTCTTGCAAATTCAAATCAGTTACTGTAATAAATTCATAAAGGGAATAGCTGTAGATTGCTTCACATGCAAAAAGCAGAAACCTAATTATTTTGCGTCACACTTCAGCGATCAATTTTTCTTGGTTCTATGGCCAAATAAGCACCATATGTTAATTCATTTTGAACTAATCCCTTTTCCTTTTCCTTCATTTTCTTTTATCCATTGTCATTTATTTCCAGCAAGCTGTGAAACTATGCACACACAGATTACTGTTGTCTGTACAAATTACCCAAGTGCTAAAGTTGTAAGTTGACATTATTTACCAATTGCTTTCTATTACATTTTTGTTGAATAGATGGAACTTGGTAAATCTAGTCTTTTATTCTTGCTAATTATCAGTCATGAACTCGTAAATTGCACGTCTTGGACTTACCAAGTTGTGGTATATCACAGCGATGTAGCTTGTCCATGTTCTTACCCTAGACTTTATTCCTTGACAGTTATATCTCCATGCCAGGATTGAATTCAATCTTGAGAGTGGAGAGTTGTTGGATTTTAACTAGAGGAAATCCTGTTTTACTTCTAATGGGTCTGACAATGACTATGATTCTTTACACTTCAGGGTGCTAAGATGGTGGAGAACTTTATACTTATCTAAGCCCCTCCCCCATTCTTCCCCCCTAATTTTGGTTAAAATGGGGGTGTTCTAAAGAATGAGAAATCGAGCACAGGCAGCACAGGATCTTACATTCTATGAACCTCATTCCTGTCCAAAAGGGAATGCCTTTACCACTGTGGGCTTAACGGTTCTTGTGGTTCTAGAGCTTGACCAACTTTTTTGCTCGAGTCTCTAGCTTGAAAATCTTGATTTTAAGAATGAGTGATTG